TGCTGAGTGAAGTTATCGCAGTCACAAAAGGACAAATACTGTATGTTGCCACTGTTGTAAAGCAGGACTGACCTCGGGGTTGGGAGAAGACTGAGAAGGATGGGTTTAATAATGTATACTGCATTGAAACAGATGAGGGAGAAAACTGTTTAAGAGGGAAAATTATTAGGTATTTTTGTCATGATGGGAATCCAGAGCGAAAGCTGTATAGTAGAGTGGACCTGGGGGGAGGGATTGTAAAACACTGAATTTTTCTTTTACTTTTCCAAGAGGGTAGTGTACTAGGGGGGATAGTTGAAATGGGAGAAAAGTGCAACAATGAATGAATGGAAATCCAAAGTCTCTGTAAATTTTCATTGAAATTAATAAATGCATAGAGCCACACACTTCTCCCACCAATACCTAATGGGTTTGAACTCCCAGGCTTTCAATTAGCTTTTGACAGTATGCCACCATGCTCATTATTAGGATAGTATAAATTTTATAGTAGGCCCTATGTTGTTGTTATGTACTGGTGAGTCAGAACTGACTCACAGCTGACCCTCCAGTGAGTTTTCAAAGGCTGTAAACAAGAGTTGAATGTCCATCTGTTTCCCACAGAGCAGCTGGTGAATTTGAACTGTGTGACTTTGCATCATCAGCAGTGCAGCTCACCAGTAGGCCAGAAGAGCTCCCTAGCAGACCATATAGTACACTAAAAATGTTTCTTTTCTTTTTTTTTTTTGTTTCCATTTTGCTTACTTTCTATGTATGTACTAATTCATCACTAAACCTTCTTCCAGCTGCCTACTAAGAGGAGATTTAAAACATACCATCTTACTAGAGAATTTTGTCTAATTTCAACCTGGGACATGTGTTCCCTATGTTTGGCAGTTTTATTCAAGAGATCTCTCTCACTACTACCCTGGTGGATCTTTTAGACTCTGTTTAATTGAATCCTCATGTTTCCTGTTTGCTATGCTGTGCTCATTTCAGAATAAGATGTCCATCATAGCTTTTTGAGAAAAAGGGCCTGAGAGGTAAAACTTTCCAGATCTTTTATGTATGGACCTGTTCTTATTCTACTCTCAAAAATAACTCAGTGTGACTCACTATAGATTCCAAGAGAAAAAACTACTTCCCCTTACATTTCTGAAGGCAATGTGTCTTTGATCTTTTGGCTCCCACTGTTGCTATTGAAAAGTCAAAAGTATTCTGATCAGGGTTCTTTTTCTAAGAGAGTAGTCATCTTTTTTTTTTTTCTTTCTAATAATTTGTAAGACTTTCTCTTTGTCCCATATACTTTAAAAAAATTGTGATGAAAATACATACAAGAACATATCCACCAATTTCAATGTACTCTTTTAATATACAGACTGATAAAGTTTTAAATTTTTCTTTGATTATTTTTATCCATTTTCTCCTTCCTCATGCTGTTTGGAATTATTTAGATATGGACATCCTAGACTAATCCTGTAATTTCCTTTTCCTTCCCATTTTCTAACTTGTCTTTTGTTCTGAGAGATTTTGTTATCTCTATTTATCAACCTTACTGAGAATCTCTGTATTTGCTATTATATTATTACGAATCTGTTCTCTTAAGGGTGCTGTTCAAAGAAAATATATGGTTATTATTTTACATATGCATTTCCCCCCCACTTATCTCTGATATGAAGGGTACTCTGTATACTTTAAATTTTTTATATTACATTTTTTGTCTGCATATTCTCACATATTTTTAAAAAGTGTTTATCTTGAAACGTTGTCATGAATCTGATGCCCTTGGTGTTTGTGTCTATTTCAGAGTAAGGTATTAAGAAACTAACTGGCATTTCTGCACGTGTAGGGGTGTCAACCATGGACTATAATCAGTATATTTTAAATCTGCAACTACAGGGTTTCAGAGTTCTCAAAGACAAGACTTTCTATCTTTTCATTTTATGGTTAAAGGCTTTCTTGCCAACATCCTGGGACTTAAGAAAAAGGGAACTTGAAAGGCTCAATATTCAGTATGTAAATATTCCTTCCCATTTTTGGCATGGTCTATCTACCTCTATTTTAGTGTTCCAGAGCAATTAAAGCTTTATCTTTTTCAAAGAGTAAAATATATATCTATTTAGGTATGGAAATGGGACTGGCAATTTAACTGTTTTTTAAAGCAATTTTTTTATTAACTGGACTTACCTTTACTTTAAGACCACCAACTTTTGGCATGGCTTTTTTGGGGGGAGGAGAAGGTGAATGTAATTTAGCTTGATCCTTAGATTTCCCTATTGAAAACCTAGAAATGAGTTCATGCAAATCTGCTACATTAATTACTAGCACTCAATAGCTTTATGAGCTTCAAGAATTTAGTTGCTAAGAATGCTTCTCCTTTTAGCCATTTTATAATTTTTAAAACCTTTTTTATTGTTGTTTTTCTAGGGTACTAGGAGGAAGCAGAATTGAGTTTATTTGGAAGGGGCAGGAAATGATATGTATAAATCAAAAGGTTAATCTTGCACAGAAGGTTGCAAAAGAGACAGAAAATAAAAGTTGTAGACCAGTCAAGCAGTAAACAGGAATCTATATATCATAAAATCACTTTACTGTCTCTGTTATCTCCCCATATACTTACCGGACATTTGTAATCTCTAGCTCTTTCATGTTTCAATGTGTGCATTATAAGGGCATATCGTCTCTGAAAAACCATCCCGCATTCTCCACATTTATGAGACGCTTCTTCAGTGTTGTCTTTAGCTTCTCTTTTTGGCTGTTTCATTTTTTTTCCTCTTTGAACTAATTTCTGGGCAACCTAATTAATGGATATGAAACACAATGCAAGTAAATATACTTACTCTCTTTTTAAACTTAGAAGTCATGTTATAAACAAAGTAATTACTATTTCCCATTACCTTATTGTTTGTATTTAAAACAGTAAGTTACTTTTCTATCTCTCTCCCAAATACTCTTTATGAATAGAATGCTTTTAGCCTAAAACGGAAAGCACAAAGGACAAGTCCTTTTATAGCATACCTGTTGAACTGCTGACTTGGGAACAGCTTTCCTTTTCTGCAGCTTTTTTTCTATTCCTTTGTGTAGTCGGATATATCCTCCTTCACTAACAGAACGCTGGCGAAGCCTGCTTCGGTAGGTATCACCATCAGGTCCAATATCTGCCTTAACTATCGATGTAACTAGATTCTCCTGATCTTTCAAAGGTTGGCCAAGGTTCTGTCTATGTTCTGCAATGTTCTCAGCAGAGATATCTTCAGGTGATGTATCATTTTCCGTATCACTGTCCTCTGGAGAGCTACTGATTACGCTGTCTTTGGAAAGTTTAGGATCAATAGTAGTATCTTTTCTTCTGTCTGAAGTTTCAAGTTCTGTGTGGTCGTTTTTTGTTGCTAAATCCATAGATTCTATTTCAGGATGGGAATCAGCCGTACATCTAACAGGTGACAAAGCAGTTTCAGCCTCTGAAGAAACCTGGGATTCATTCTGTTGTCTTAGCACTCCATTCTGCTCAGCTTCTGGCAGTTCTCCATTGACTACAACGACAATTTCACAATCTCCAAGTTCAGTAGATAGAGTTGTTGTAGTTCCTTCACTGCTAGCCACAGGTTGTGTGGTTCCTTCAGTCTGAACTGGCAGGTCCTGGGTAGAGGCAACTGTTTGTACTTCACCCTTCTTATATACTGTTAGCTGCTTCTCTTCCATTAGTTTGTGTACACTTTCACAGATTTCTAAAACTTCTGACATGAAAAGATGGCGAGCCAGGATGGCTACATCAGCCATGCTACAGAAGTCAAAGCTTAGCACAGAAGTATAGGCAAATTCTAATAAAGGAAGGAAACTTGCCTTACAAAAACCTGTATGAAACAAAAAAGGCAGGGGGCAGCACAGTCAATCACCACAAAGACATTTTACAAGAACAATTTATACAGAATTGTGATAAGATGAAATAAGACTATACAAGTGAATGTTACCATTTATTCTGCAAATAACACACTTCGACATTTGTCTTATGTTCTGTTTTTTGCACTTCTATAAGCCCAAGTGTCTTTCAATACCTAAAATATAGTATCAGACTTCCTACCTCAAAGAATCGTTGTAAGGCAGTCATTCTCAGATTGGACTCCATTTTCAAATTGGAACTCCCCTAGTGGGGTTTCCACAAATTCTCAAGAAATAGAAACTGGTGGCATAGCCATGGCAGTTAACGCTACACCAACCCCTCACAACTACTGCCACTAGAACTTGTGGACAAATGTATAGGATGATCAAGGACTGATAAGGAAAGTGCTGGCATACTTCTAAGTTTTGATAACTTTGCCAGTATGATCTTAGCTGTCACTTAGTTTGAAAATACACTAAAGAGAAGAGTTACTAAATTAGATCAGATTCTGCTCAAGGTAAATAATATAATAATGCTGGTTCCTGGAAGAGAAGGACCTGAAGTATGAGTGGATTTTCTTGACTGAATGGTAGCTCCCGTTTTGTTTTATAAAGACAACAATATGGATTTTTTTTTTACATTTTAGTCTTGAAACTCTGAAACAGGGAAATGTTTTGAGATAAACTGTAAATGCCAATTTTTATAAGTTAATCATTATTATCTTAGGAGAAAAGTAAACAGTTTTATGTTTGAAGACCAAAATAAAAATTTTTTTGGTTAACTGTAACTTTAAAAAAAAAAAGAGAGAAAGAAATAGATACTGGAGAATGTAGTGTAGAAAAAGAGGGAGAGAGGCAATAGGCAAAGGTACAAACCAACATATTCCCTAACCTTTCTTCACAAAGGATAGCTATAATTTTATTATTATTATTAATTTTAATGAAAATTTACACTTTGGCTTTCCATTCATTCATTGCTGTACTTTTCTCCCTGCCCACCCCTCCCCCTTAATAGCTGTATTTTTTTAATATCAGGGAACCTGTAATATAGTTGGATTGAACAAAGAGTTTTACAATTAAAAAATATAAAAGGTTTAAGGCAGAGACCAGCAAAATTTATCTGCAAAGAGTCACATGGTAGAACATACCATAGATCATAAGGCATCTCTAGGAAGGATTCAACTTGCCATATAGCTAAAAACCAGCAGCTGTAGATAATATGTAAAGGCGTGGATAAGGTTATGCTCTAACACAACTTTATTTACATAACCAACATGGCGAAATGTTGGCTGTTGTACTGTAGTTTAGCAACCCTAGTCTAAGGAGACACATGCGGTATTACACTCTTATTTGAGAAAACAAGGTTGTTTATTTTTTTTGCTAAGTTCTTGGCACCTCAACTTTCAAAAATTTTAATGTTCACCTGATTCAAAACAGAAAAAAGATAACACAGTGTTAAATTGTTAAATTCAGAAGGGGTCGTGGTACTAGAGATATTGTAGCTGATGTTAGATGGATCTTGGCTGAAAGCAGGGAATACCAGAGGAATGTCTATCGGTGTTTCATTGACTATGCAAAGGCATTTGACTGTGTAGATCATAACAAACTATGGCTGACTCTGAGAAGAATGGGAATCCCAGAA